GGAGGGCAAAACCTGGCGGCCATCGATGGTGTGTTTATCCTGAAGAACCTGATCAAGAACGGAAGGATCAGAGAAGACGACAAAGCCGAAGCCACGGGGACGGCCAGTGGTCTTGTCGCGCATAATAACAGCTTGGTTAACTTCGCCAAATTGGGAGAAATACTCTCTGAGCTTCTCCTCGGAGGTGTCCCAAGCTATTCCACCGATGAAAAGCTTCCCCTCGTCGGAGTCCATGTCTCCGTTGCCTGAAAGAGCACCGGAATTAGGGCCACTTCTCGGTCGCCAATGAGTTGGGGAGTTACAGTCGTCAGCTCCGGGAGATCGAGAAAGTCGAGGGAGAAAGAGAGGGAGAGAGAAGAATGGAGGGAAGGAAATGAGCGCGAGAGTACGAGGAGGGAAATTGGGGCTAGGGTTCCCCGAAAACGATGTCGGTTCATTAATATTATATATTTTCCTATTATTATAATTAAAATAATTTCCATGTCAGCAACTGGGGTGGTGGCGCAGTTGGCTAGCGCGTAGGTCTCATAGCTTCTGAGTTATCCTGAGGTCGAGAGTTCGAGCCTCTCTCACCCCACTCTTTTTTTTATTTTATAATTTTAACTTATAAATTAAATTTAATCAATTTATATCAATTTAGTCTTCTTCTTTTTTATTAAATTGCAAATTTACCCTTTTTTTTTTTTTTTTATATAGTTTTAACTTATAAATTTAATCTATAAATTTAATCACATAATTTTAAAATTTATATCAATTTACTCTTCCTTTTTATTAAATTGCAAATTTACTTTTTTTTTTATAGTTTTAACTTATAAATTTAATCTATAAATTTAATCACTTAATTTTAAAATTTATATCAATTTAGTCTTCTTCTTTTTTATTAAATTGCAAATTTACCTTTTTTTTAGTTTTAACTTATAAATTTAATCACTTAATTTTAAAATTTATATCAATTTAGTCTTCTTCTTTTTTATTAAATTGCAAATTTACCTTTTTTTTTTTAGTTTTAACTTATAAATTTAATCACTTAATTTTAAAATTTATATCAATTTAGTCTTCTTCTTTTTTATTAAATTGCAAATTTACCTTTTTTTTTTTAGTTTTAACTTATAAATTTAATCACTTAATTTTAAAATTTATATCAATTTAGTCTTCTTCTTTTTAAAATTTGTGTTAATGTGTTCTATTAGTATTATTATTATTTTGTTAAATTATAAAATTTTATCTTTTTTAATCGAGTTTAGTTACTCAATTTCAAAATTTGTATCAATTTGGGTTAATCGGGTCTCTCTTTAATGTCAACAACTTATAGCGGTGTAGTTTGTTAGCATGTAGGTCTTTACTGGTTGAGAGTTTGAACCTCTCACCCATTTTTTATATATTTAATGTAACTGCTTATTAACTTTATAATTTAAAATTAAAGTTTATATTTTTATTAAATAATAAATTCCATTTAAGAGTTACCATGCTTTAAAATTCAAAACTAAATCTAGTAATTTAACCAAATATTTAACATTTTTACCAATTTTTTTTGTTTTTTGCTTTTAAATATGGAATAAATGAGATAAATAAAATAAAATAAAAAAAAGACCCCACAATCATTTAAATGGAGGCTACAAAAATTGGCATATTCTTAAATTCCATATCATTCGTTATGGTACGATCAAATTTTAGCATCGAAAATATTCTGTAATGGGTAAAAGTTCAACGGAGCAATTTTGGAATAACGTGAACATGATTTGACTACTTAAGGTATTTAAATTCCTTTCCACTCTCGTGTTGTTAAGATATTTATCCTGAGGTCGACGTGTATTGGCACCTTACAAATTATCCACCAACTTTTTAATATCATAAATATTTTTAAAATACCACTATTTTTTATAAATTTTAGAAAAATATTTTTATTATTATTATTTTTTTAAAAAAGTTGACGTGTATTAATAAAAATATTTTAAAACTTAAAAAGTATTTTTGAAGAAATAAATATATTTTTTAAAAAAATTAAAAAATATGTTTGGGAGAAATTATTTTTTATGAGCCCCATTCAAAATAAAACCAGTTAGTATTATATTAAAGTTTACAGACATCCAACGGATGGGGACCCAGTGCTCCAAAGAATCCAACGGTTGGAAATCAACGAAACATAGCCAAACGTTAGCCTGAAAAGAATTTTCCTTTTTTCTGTCACCATTTACAGGCTGTCTTTCAATAGCTCGTTTCCCCACGGAAGTTACATTTTAAAAAGCAAAAAATTTTCTTGACCGTTTCATCCTGCCCCACTTTGGATTCACTCATAAACCTACTCGCTCTCTCTCTCTCATCTTCATCCGATTTCATCTTGAGGTGAAAGCTTTTGTGGAAATCATGAAAATCCATTAGCAGAATCGGCTTTCAGAGTCATCGGAGCATTGTTCTTAGTGAGAGAGAACGAAGTTTTTCCGTAACAATGGGCTGTTTCATCGCTTGTTTCCGCTCATCCAATGACGGAAAACGCCGGATGCGGAGGCGGCGTAAGGTTTCGCCACGAGATCAAACCGTAAGTTCATCTTCTGGATTTTTTATTTTATTTGAATTCATTGAAACGGCTGGATGATTCTCTTTTGTTGTGATGTTTTAGATTTTCAATATGCTGGTTTAATCTGTTTTAGCTTAGATTTTGTTGGTTTTGGCTGTTTAAATTGACTGATCGTTGTATGAACTTGTGTGATTTCTCGAAGTTTTCTTGCTTAATAGAGCTCTGAGAAGCTAAATCCCTCATATGAAATTGAAATTGATCGAAACTTTACTGTAGGCTAATGCTATCTCCCAGCCCGTTCAGGCCTCACCATCTACCTTAGACAGTGCTTCTGTTGTGTCCATTAGTCCGATTCTTAAATCTCGGTGAGCCCCCCCCGGCCCCTGCTCAAGTTTTTCCTTCTAGTGTCTTATAGGTTCTCAAGTCTTTGTGTTTTGAGTTGTAGGAACAGGTCTGAGGAGAGACTAAATCTGAGTGCTAGAAAAAGAGTAACATTTGATTCCAATGTAAGAACATATGAGCTTGATCATGTTGAGGATGATGCTTTTCTTGAAAAGGAGAGGAACAAGGAGGAGGACCTAGCTGAAATACCCCAATGCAAAACTATCTCTGAAAATGGATCTACTATTTCGAGCGTTTCGTCTTACCCATCGAATCATAGGTATCAGAATTGTCGAGATAGTGATGATGATGATGGATTGGATTATGCCGATAGTGATCTCGATCATGATCATGATCATGTTGACACTGATGACGATGGTGATGATGATGATGAGGATGAAGAGTATGAGAATTACTCTGATGATGAAGATGGAAGTTCTGCTACTCAAGTGTTTGTTGACGAGGTTGATAGCTGTTTGTCAGTATGTGGATGTCCTGGAAAGATTGAACCTCAAACCGGGGCGAGACCGATTGCTCGAGATAGGAATGCAGGTGTTCCTTCTGTGTTGAAGCCTGTCGAAAATATCTCACAATGGAAGGCAGTTAAAGTTAAGGATACACATCGGTCGAACAAAGAGAATTTGACACTAAATGGAGCTCCTTGGAGTTGTTCGGGGACGGAGCCACGTTTCGGGAAATCATCTTTTCGTTACGAATCGAGAACTTGCAGACCTAAGAACTCAGCTCAAGACATAGCTGTTGATGCTAGCCTTTCAAACTGGTTGAGTTCATCAGAAGTTACACCTCCAATCAAGACTAGCACAGGCATTTTAGGTCTTCCTACACCAGAGTCACAAGGATCAAACTCACCTAAAAGCCAAGAAGATAGACCAATTTTGGGAGCTTTAACCATGGAGGAGCTCAATCAGTTTTCAACTTCACCTTCTCCGAGGAGACCACCATATAGAAGCGCCCTCGATGATGTGCCAATCATTGGGACGGTTGGCACATACAGCAGTAACTACATAGAAACGTGTGTGAAATAAGAGTGAAACCGAATTCCAATTGATGTCGTGGAAGTAAGAAACCGGTTTGTGAAGGGTGACAGTGCCATGGATATCGATAACCGACGTTCGAGTTCGAGAGGTGATAGCGCGCGACTATGAATGCAAGCTTACCAGCTTACACTACGCCATTGTATGATAGATAAGTGTGTGAGATATTTGGTGGAGAGTTTGGATCTGTCCATTGATTTTCTTTCATTCATTGTTTTGTGAATTTGATTGAATTGATTTCTGTAATGCTCTTTTGTTCGATTGAGTTAATTCATTCATTCGTTTGCTTCTCATTTGGGCTGTTTTAGAGGAGAATTGATGAAATTTCGAACCTATAACAACTCAAGCCCACTACTAACAGATATTTTGACCGTTTTGGTTTGTTATGTATCGCTGTTAGTTTTACAGTTTTAACGCGTTTAGTAGGGAGATGTTTTAAAACATGTTTGGTAGGGAGATGTAAAACATGTTTGGTAGGGAGATCCCACATCGATTGGGGAAGAGAACGGAATATTCTTTACAAGCGTGTGAAAACCTCTCTCCGTTTTAAAAACCTTGAGGGGAAGTCCGAAGGGAAAGTCTAAAGGGAAGTCCGAAGGGAAAGTCTAAATAGGACAATATCTGCTAGCGGTGTACTTGGGCTATTACAGATTCCATACCCTTATAATGCTTCGTTCCTCTCTCCAACTAATGTGGGATCTCAGAATCCAACTCCTTGGAGGCCCAACATCCCTACTAGCACACCGCCCAGTGTCCGACTTTGATACCATTTATAATCACTCAAGTCCACCACTAGCAGATATTGTCCGCTTTGACTCGTTACGTATCGCTAGTTTTAAAATGCGTCTGATAGGGAAGAGTTCCACACTCTTATAAGAAATGCTTCGTTGCCCTCTCCAACCAATGTGGGATCTCACAGAATCTATCCTACAAACCCATTCCCGAGCTAAACCAACACTCATATTGTAAGCATAGGAAGAAAAACAGGGCCATAACAACAAACAAACAAAGATCATGTCCTAACGTTGAATTATACCTGCAAGCATTGGTGGAACATTGCACAAGTTGATTCAAGAGCTTTTCATAGTCTCATGTAAAGCAAAATTTAGTTGAATTATCAAAGCTACAAAATAAGAAACTAAGAAGAGATTTTGTAGAATTACACAACTGGTGACAGAAACTCCTTACAGAAAACACAGCCTACTCATCTGTCCTTTGGCGTTTCGATAGTTCGGAGCGAGATTCAAAAACATCAGGCTCGGGATTCTCCGGGACTTCCCTATGAGAAGCTAATAGCTTCCCCTCTACTTGGTTAGTAGTCTTTTCGGATATCGAGTCAGCTTCGGATGGATCGGTGAATCGTGTGGGATTATCTGATGGCTTTGTCAGGTTATTGCTTGACTTGCATTGTTCTTCAAACATCATTTGAAGGTACTTCCCCTGTTCTTCTATTCTTAATTGTAAATTTCGTTGGATCTGTCGAACAGTGAACAAGAATGGAATTATCTCGAGAATATGGAGGAATAGTGTACTCGAGGGTCTAAAGACCTTCGAATTGTCTCTTAATTTTCAGAGGTACATATTCCTTTTATAATACACAAAAGCTAAATAAATCCATAAATACTGTAATACACGTAAATAAATCTCTAGATACCAGGTACCAAGGCAGAAAATTAGGGAGGTCAACTGTTTTGTGAGATTTCACGTCGGTTGAAGAGGGGAACGAGCGTTCCTTATAAGGGTATGGAAACCTCTCCCTAGTAGATGCATTTTAAAACCGTGAGGCTGATTTCGATAAGTAACGGGACAAACCAGACAATATTTACTAGCGGTGGGTTTGGGCTGTTACAAATGATATCAGAACTAGGCATCGAGTAATGTGTCAACGGAGACGCTCGCCCCGTAGGGGGGTGGATTGTGAAATCCCACATTGGTTGGAGAGGGGAACGAAACATTCCTTAAAAGGGTATGAAAACCTCTCCTTAGTAGTTTTAAAATCGTGAGATTGACAACGATACGTAACGGGCCAAAGCGGACAGTATTTACTAGCGGTGGGATTGGGCTGTCACGTATTTTCCCTTAATCAAGGTCATTCCTTCGACATTCGACTTCAAGCCGATGAATAGATATCATCCATTCTCAACTTGGATACTAACATTGAAGGGAAGACAAAAATAATATTACTAACATCGAATTTTTGTTTGAGAAGGAATGGTCGTGTGACCCGAGAGCAATGATCAGTTAATGTGCGAAACCAACGAGCACGGAAAATATTTGGAACAGTCGAGGGTCCTCGTATATCACTATGAATCAAATGAAAAGAGCTTGAGCTTTTATTTTAACTAATGAGAAATAGATACATACCTCGAGTTGTTCATGTAACTTTTTTTGAACTTCCATCTGCAGCCGTAGAGCCTCTGTGATGTCAATACTCCTGTTAAGTAGAAATATTTTAATAGGCATATTCAAGCTCATTTCAATATCCCCACCAACTCAACCAACTCAAGCCTACTGCTAGTAGATATTGTTTTCTTTCGATTTTTCCTGTTGGGCTTCCCCTCAAGGTTCTTAAAACCGTCCGCTAGGGAGAGGTTTCCACACCCTTGTAAGGAATGCTTCGTTTCCACCCCCAACCGATGTGAGATCTCACAATCCATCCCCTTTGAAGGCCCAGCTTCTTCGCTGGCACACCGCCCAGTGTCTGGCTCTGATACTATTTGTAACACCCAAGCCCACCGCTAGTAGATATTGTCCTCTTTGGGCTTTCCTTCAAGGTTTTTATAACGCGTCTACTAGGAAGAGGTTTCCACACCTTTGTAAGGAATACTTCATTCCCCCCTCCAACCGATGTGAGATCTCACAATCCACCCCCCCTTGGGGGCCAGCGTCCTCGCTGGCACACCATCTAGTGTCTGGCTCTGATACCATTTGTAACAGCCTAAGCCCACCGCTAGTAGATATTGTCCTCTTTGGGTTTTCCCTATTGAGCTTCCCTCAAGGTTTTTAAAATGCGTATGTTAGGGAGAGGTTTTCACACCCTTGTAAGGAATGCTTTGTTCCTCTCTCCAACCGATGTGAGATCTCACAACCACCTCCCTTGGGGGCAACGTCCTTGCTGGCACACTGCCCAATGTCTGGCTCTGATACCATTTGTACCAGGCCAAGCTCACTGCTAGCAGATATTGTCCTCTTTGGACTTTCCCTGTTGTGCTTCTCCTCAAGGTTTTTAAAATGTGTCTACTAGGAGAGGTTTTCACACCCTTGTACGGAATGCTTTGTTCCTCTCTCCAACCGATGTAAGATCTCACACTCAGAATAACTTACGTTTTCAGATCGAGAGATGAAATATCGTCAAGTGAGGTGGTGCTTTTCTCCATTGGTCCTGCAGTGAAAATGAAAATACATGCAATTTTCACACCAAAATATCAAACAAAATCAAATAATATGAGCCATCATGATCTAACTATTGTACTTAATTACATTGGTAAACTTTATCACAAGTATTTTCAATACCTTTTGATGATTCTGGTTGGTATCTAGCCGTTCTATATTTCTGCAACCAAGAAGCAGTAAAGCCAATTACACGAGTATCGAATATAAAAACGCTCGATATGCATATCCGTTCTATATTTCTAGCTGTTCTATTACCTGCAAGTGGCTTTTTACATGATAGATTGTCAAACCCTCCACTTGCATAAGCTTAAGAACACCCTTGGGAGTAGCTCCTGAGAGGTGAAAATAGTGAACCCATTAGATATAATTAGGGGTGTACATTCAACCCGACAACCCAGACCAACCCAACCCAAACTATAAAGGTTGGGTTGGGTCAAGAAAATCCCTCAACCCAACCTAATCCTTATAGTTCAAGTTGGGTTGGTCCGAATTATCGGGTTGAACGTACACCCCCTGATAATCATTGTGTCAAGACAGGACATGAAGCAGGTAAGGTTAGGACAATACACACTTTCACTACCACCAAGTTTGTTTACAGCCTCTACAAATGCATCATGAAGTTCGGGTGTCCATCGCATTCGCAGCTTCGAGGGAGCTCCATTTGAAGAAGGAAGTCGATTTTGAACTCGAGATTGCTGCACGTGCATTTGTATTGCTGGGTTAGGTGCTTGGTGCACCATCTGAGGAATAAACATGACCAAACCAAACCATTTATAAGGGCCTCTTAGGAAGTATTGAACCAGTTAAATGGTCAAAAAAAGGACTCCAACCTTCGGTTCCAAATCTACAACATCAGCATCCACTAGAAGGTCACTCCAATTAGAACTCAAAGGATCATCAGTTATTAGCCTATCCGTCCATTCCTGACAATCATTTTCTTTACTAAAATCCTCTGATACCATAAGAGAGCTGCAGCTATTGTTCTCTACACGACTACCGCCAACCGGGTTACTTTCAGGAGCTTCTCGAAAACCCGGCAATGCATCCGAACGCCAGGAATTGCCATTTTCACCAGTAGGATGGTTTTTTGATGAAAGAAGTTCTGAATGAGAATTCAACAGTACACCATTAGCTGATGGCTCGGGAACGAAAGGCGCATCAGATTGGTGTTCGTAAAACGAAACCGATGAATAATGGAGATCTGTTGAAAACCCGGGAGACGACGAAAATATGTGGCCAACCACTCCACTGCTAGAGTGTAAATGACTGGAATGAACAAAACGTCTCGATACCAGCTCTCGTTCCATTGAAACCTGTCGAGAATCAGGCAGGACACTCTTAAGGGCCTACTATGCTGCCTTGCACTTGAAATTGGAGGAAGGAATGAATTTCATCTATTTGCAGCAACAATTGTAGCACATAACTGACCCTTAGTTTTTTTTAGTAGTTAAAGCTCATCTCTAAGTCCAATATCTTCAAATTTTGACATCTATAGAAGGAAGAGACAAGTACAATGGTTTCAGAGAAACATAATTACATTTCAAGAAAAGAAGAAAAATCTTCAAATGAACCAAAGCATATGCATGTCATAACAAATAAAAAGGGTTTGCACTGGCAAGATGAGACGAGACTCGTCAATCACCCGAGTTTAGATGATTGGGTTTGGAGCTAATTTCCAAGAACCTAACTGTAACGACCCAGATCCACCACCAGTAGATATTGTCCTCTTTGGGCTTTCATTTTCGGGCTTCCCCTCAAGGCTTTAAAACGCGTCTGCTGGGGGAAGGTTTCCACGCCCTTATAAAGGGTGTTTTGTTCTCCTCCCTCAACCAACGTGAGACATCACAATCCACCCCTGTTCAGGGCCCAGTGTCCTCGCGGGCACTCATTCCTTTCTCCAATCGATGTAGGACCGCCACCAAATCCACCCCCTTTGGGATGTGTTTGCTAGGGGAAGGTTTCCACACCTTTATAAAGGATGTTTTGTTCTCCTCCCCAACCAATGTGGAATATCACACTAACTGTGAGATTTCACATCGGTTGGAGAGAGGAACGAAGCATTCCGTACAAGGGTGTGAAAACCTCTCCCTAGTAGACACATTTTAAAAACCTTGAGGAAAAGCCCAACAGGGAAAGCACAAATAGGATAATATTTGCTAGCAGTGGGCTTGAGCTGTTACAAATAGTATTAAAGTCAAACACCGAGCAGTGTGCTAGCGAGGAAGCTGGGCCCCCGAGGGGGTGGATTGTGAGATTTCACATCGATTAAAGAGAGGAACAAAACATTCCTTGTAAGGGTGTGGAAACCTCTCCCTAGTAGACACATTTGAAAACCTTGAGGGGAATCCCGGAAGGGAGAACCCAAAGAGGACAATATCTGCTAGCGGTGGGCTCAGGCTGTTACAAATGATATCAAAGCCAGACACCAAGCGGTGTACCAACAAGGAAGCTGGGCTCCCAAGGGGTGGATTGTGAGATCTCACGTCGGTCGGACAAGGGAACAAAGTATTCCTTAGAAGGGTGTGGAAACCTCTCCCTAATAAGCACGTTTTAAAATCTTAAGGGGAAACCCATAAGGAAAACTCTAAATAGGACAATATCTACTAGCGGTGAGCTTGAGCTGTTACACAAACCAATTGATTACTCACACAAGCAAAAACAAGTGTTTACTAGAAGAACTCAGTGAGGGGGGAGGGGATCGTAAAACCCTTCCCAAAATACTCATCAAACACCATTTTGTGAGGTTCTACACAACTCGGACAACTATAAAGGCAATCACAAGCGATCATCTTAACCAGCAGAAGACATCAAATCGAAGCTGCATCAAAGCACTTCTAATATCAAAGGAAACTAATCTAACATCAAAACCTGAAGACTAATTATTCAAAGCAATACAGAGAGAAGAAGAACACAAACCTTCGATTGAAGCAGCTAAATGGATGAATCTCAAAGCGAGTAACAATCGGCCGCAAATGGAAAAGAAAATCGTATAATTATGTAATGAAATGGATAATTGGAAATTTCGTACCCGAAAGCCGAAAAGAAAGCCTCTGGAAGCGGAAAACAAAAGGAACCCTTCGAAGAAAAAGAAACGGAATAGAATCCGAAAAACGCACAAATGATTCGAGCACTTGTATCACCGGCGGGTGATTTAAATACGTCACCGGCACGGCGGATGGACGCGAACGGTGAGGTGATGACCGTCATGGTTTCGCTTTGTTGTTGTTATTGCATTTCTGAAATGTACTGAGCTAAATTATCGCACGCGCCTGGTTTGGCGCGTGGCTTTTAAATTGTACCATATGGCAAATGGTTTGTAAATTGAAGATTTATGATTGGCTGTGCACAAGAGAGATAATAGGCTGCGTCTGGGATTGTTCGTGTTGTCATTTTTCTGCTCTTTGTCCTACTGGCATTTTCTTTTTTATTTGCGTAATTATTATTTGTAAATATTTAATTAAAATTTATTAAAAAATTATCTTCTAAATAATTAAAAAAATTATTTAAAAGAGTGGTGGAATAATAAATTACAAATTAACTAACTCAATTCCTAAAATCTTTATTTATTTAAAATAAATCCAACTCATAGTCAAACTATAAGAATTAAATTGAATTGGTCGGTCACAAATGGATAGCTAAGGGTGAGGAAATTTTTCCTTATCATACGCGTTTTAAAATCGTGAGGTTGATGGAGATACTTAACGGGCTCAAGTAAACAATATCGATTAGCTGTAGGGTTAAACTATTACAAATGGTATCAGAGTTTGCAAGAACCTTGGGCCCTTAAGGGGGTGGATTGTGAAATTTGATGTCGATTGGAGAAGGGAACGAAACATTATTTATAAAAGGGTGTGGAAACCTCTCGATAGTAGATGCATTTTAAAACTGTGAGACTGACGACGATACATAATGAGCTAAAGCACTCACGACGATATGTAATGGACTAAAGCAATATTATAAAAAATCAGATTGTAAGATCCTTTCTCGATTGGAGAGAGGAACGAAACATTCCGAGACAAAACAAAACAAAACAGATTAAATCTCTAAAATCTAACAAATTTGATTATGGGAAGGCAGAGTATATGCAAAAAAAAACCCTCTTACGAGAGTTAATTACATGAACAAAAAATGACCTCCAGCTCCCAAATGACAAGGCCTCAAAGTAAAAACCAAAACAGACCCATTTCAAGCTGTTCTTTCATGGAAGAACCCATCAAAAAACCATTAGCAATGAAGCGACAGAGTAGAATCTTCTTCTTGTTCTTCTTGTTCTTCTTGTGTTCTTCATGATGATCAATGAAGCAAGCCATCATCAAAGTTAAGAGAGTAGCTGTGAAGATCATAACTGTAATGAACTGTCCTGTTTTTCCATCTCAAACTGTGCTTCCACTGTGATTTGAGCTTGAAAATCGAGTGTTTGAAGGAAGAACAGCAAGAACTTGGGGTTTTTGGGTCACTCATATAAGGAATTTCAGAGGCAGAATTTGCGATTCTGTTCCCAAGCTTCATGAATTGCCATTTCCATGAACTGAACCCTAAAAGCTTCATGTTTGAGGGCTTGAATCACTGAAATTAATGGGAAAAAAGGAAGGGATTTTAAAGAAGAAGAAGAAGAAGAAGAACAGCGAGAAATGGTTTGGTTCTGTTTTGTTTTGTGTTTTGGTCCCATATTTGGCGAAGTTGGTAATGTCAGAGTCGTCTGCTTTCAGTTTCCTCTGTTTCACTCAACGAATTTCATTTAACTTTCCTGGAAACTGCCGCCGGTAGCTTTTGGTAAAGTTTTTTTTTTTTTTCTTTTCTTTGAATTGACAAAAATGTTAAAAGTATGTGAATTTAGTTTTAAATTTGAATTAGGGATGTTAAAAAAAAATCAAAATTTTGTAAACTTGATCTAACTTATTCGGTTGGTTTAGGTTCAAATTATTAGATGAACAGAACTCTCCACAATGATATGATATTGTCCATTTCACTTTGAGCTTGCTTTCCAATAATTCATATATTTACTTAAAATTAGATTGAATGATGTGAATCAAACTTGGATTTATTATAAATTTTAGAAATAATATTGGATTTATTATAAAGTTTAGAAATAATAATATTTGGAGTGTAAACTGACACTCTACTTTTATTATAAACAAAAAAATAAACTTGACAGTCTAAATAATCGGGTTGAGTCTAAAAAACATCTCAACCTAATCTAGCCAACTCACAAACATCCTTACGTTTAATTTTATAATAGTATAAATATATATTTTTTAAAATGTCTATGAATATTACTATATTTCATTTTCTCTCATGAATAAAAACTATATAATTTTTTCTTCGTTTTAAAACGAGAACATGAATTTCTACATAATTTGATAAATAATTTTTAAGAAACAAAATAATTACTAAACATTTTTTTTTTATAAAAAAACCCAAAACTAAAATAAAAAAATTATTAAAGAAACATTATTTATTTATTTTTATGGGTAGAGAGAATCTGAAAAATTGAAAAGAGAAAGAAAGTCAAATTTTTTTAATGATTATTTACTTATATAAAAGATTAAAAAATAAAAAATAAAAAAGGGTGTAAAGGTCCTCCGGATTCTGTCAGCTAAAAAAATCTCTGTATTATCTGTCATTTCCACTTTCTACCTAAAACTAAAACAAACGTCTTCTCTTTCAAGTTTAAAATGCAGGGGTAAAAAAAAAAAAAGTAGGGGTAAAAACATTAAACAAAAATAGTTATAAAACATATATCGGTTGAGTTTCTCGAAAATGTTATCCAAATAGAATAAATAAGGAAATCAACGGTTGACAACCGATCTAATATGATACGTTGTTGCTTATGTGGTACTTAGACTTCTAACCCTAACTTATTCACGGAGAACGACCATCGACAGAAAAGCTCTATTGCCCACTAACGACAACCCCTTGTGTTTACGAGATAATAAACCTCGACTCAAAAACGCGTATGATAACAAGCTGTGCAACATAAACTCTTCTCATAGGTTCTCTCTCTCTAGTTATACTCGAGTTGACAAGTATGAAAATTTCAGTTAAAACTCGAGTACCTCGTTAGCTTTCTGAGAGAATCCATATCCACAATACTAACCCGAGCTGCGAAGTCCAGAAATAACAAGGTTCCCTTGCAGTTAACTTCATCTATAGGGATAAACATGTGATATGAACCAAAACTCATAACGATCATATAAATCAAGATAAAATAAGTTAATCCCAGACAATGAAATTGAATCTTAAAATCCTAGTCTATAAAAGGACAGAAACGAAACTAAGTCACTTGATTTGGTGTTCAAACAATAGCATTAGCTGCACTGGCAATTCTGGGCCAGAGATCAGCACATTCCTTTCCAATTGGGCCTGTTATAGCAGAACCTGCACACCCCAAGAAAATAACTGTTCCAAGTACATGAAAGCAAAATGAACGATAGTTTAAATGCTAAAACAACTCCAAGGTATAGCGACAACAATCAAGATGGTACAATATCATCACTCCAAAATTAAACTTCCATGGAAAATTTATAATTCGGAGCATAATGATCTCCAAACGGTAGTAGCTCAAGCTCACCACTAGTAAATATTGTCCTCTTTGGGCTGTCCTTCTGGGCTTCCCCTCGAGAGGGAGAGGTTTTCACACCCTTATAAGGAATGTTTCGTGCCCCTGTCCAATTGACGTGAGATCTCACAATCCACCACCCTTGGGGACCAACGTTCTCACTGGCACACTGCCTAGTGACTGGCTCCGATACTATTTTTAACAGCTCAAACAGCAAATATTGTCTTTTTTGGGTTTCCCCTCAAGGTTTTAAAACATGTATGCTAGGGAGAGGTTAACACACCCTTATCAGGAATGCTTCATTCCCCTCTCCAACCAATGTGGGATCTCACAATCCACTTCCCTTGGGGACCAGCATCATCGCTAGCACATCGTTCGATGACTGACTCTGATACTATTTGTAACAGTCGAAATTCACCGCTAGCAAATATTGTCTTCTTTGACCTTTCCCTTCTGGGCTTTCCCTCAAGGTTTTAGAACAAGTTTGCTAGGGAGAGGTTTCCACACCCTTATAAGGAATACTTCGTTCCCCTCTCCAACCGATGTGGGATCTCACAATCCACCCCCATTACGGACCAGTGTCCGCTAGCACACCGCCCGATGACGGGCTCTGATACTATTTGTAACAGCCGAAACCAACCGCTAGCAGATATTGTCTTCTTTGGCCTTTCCCTTCTAAACTTCCCCTCAAGATGTTAAAACATGTTTGCTAGGGAGAGATTTCCACACCCTTATAAAGAATGCTTCGTTCCCCTCTCCAACCGATGTTAGATCTCACACTTCTTCTAGCACGTTACTATCATTTTATTAAGACCACATACGGACTTGATACTCTAAAGTTCGGAAATGGAAAAGATCATACCCTTCATCTCTCCTTTGGGGTTCACAATGACACCAGCGTTATCTGCAAAAACAAGAAAACTCTTATTCAACAACTGTAACGTTCAATTCTATATGGATATATTTCGAGTACAAGACAGCTACCTCGTCTCCATTACATGAAACAACCCTTCACATAAAATGGCAACAAAACTATCCTAAGCACATAATTCTCCCATAGAATTAGAATAGATAACAACCTTCACAAACCATTTGAAATAACCCTTCACATGAAATGCTATTTAAGGGTGACTAGAGCAATCTAAACGGAGTTTATAACTCAACCCAACCTTATTTTTGGGTTGGTTTATCGAGTTGTTTTTTTTAATTATTTAAAAAAACTATGCTTATCCACGACACATGTTGCATTAAGAATTAAAATCTCATAAATTTGAAATATCCACGGACACAACGCATCACTAACATTAATGAAAAACGTTAAACATTCATATAATACATAAAAAAAACAAGAATCCAGCCGATCAAGGTCAATTATGACGATTAACCATGGACAAAGTAACCTAATAGGAAGCAGATAACACGGGGGAGAAAAGTTAGAACAAAAAATTTAATCGAAAGCGAAACAAGACAGATAAATTGAGTTGTGTATGACCTTCAAAGTACATGAAGACACCATCCTTTCGGCGCCATGGCTTGCGCTGCCTGACAATAACAGCAGGAAGCACCTTCTTCCTGAGGTCAGGTTTTCCCTTCTTGACCGTCGCCATGACCATGTCACCAACACAAGCTGATGGCAATCGGTTGAGGCGGCCCTTGATCCCCTTCACCGAAATGATATACAGGTTCTTAGCTCCTGTATTGTCGGCACAGTTAACTGTAGCCGCCACAGGTAGACCCAGCGACATCCTAAATTTGTTCCCTGCGGAACCTCCCCTACCTAAATCGATACACAACAATAACAAGTCTCAAATCTCAAATCTAAGAGTATAAAAACAGTAGCAAAAAGAAGATCGAATCAAATATTGCATAAACATTAGCGTATGAACTGAACAATCAGATCATACCTCGCTTCGACATTGTTGACGGACTCTCCGGCTGCCGTCTCTCTCTCTCTCCTCCGACCAGAAAACGAATGCACTTCCTAATTTATGAAAGACGACGGCATAGACTTTCTGGGGTTAGGGTTTTAGGCACTCTGTTTGGATGCAGTTATTTACTATCCTGCCCGCGTATTGCCAAGCCAAAACAAGCGTTTCACAGATAATACGACGCCGTTTCATAAATTTAATAGTGAAATTGACGGAAGGATAAATTTATATTTTTTTATCCGATAAAAAACATGTAGACGCCGCGAGACGACGTCGTTTAAGGAGCATGCTGGTACATGGATCAAAAGGAAGCCAAATTTCTCGCCGGCAAATATTTTCAACCCACAAATTGTAACAAATGCCGACGGGCACCGCCGCCGTCTTTTCCGCCACAAACTTTCTCCCTCCGCCGCGTTATCCCCCGCCGGCGACTTCAAAAACAAAGCCGACCAGTTGCCACGTCATCCCCAGAATGTCCCTAAACCAAAGCCCATCAAGCGGCCCAAAATCGTCCACCTCTTCCTCTTCTTCTTCCCTGTTATCCTCAATCACTAATCTCTTATGGGGCCCATCTCTCCCGCCGGGGCTCCTCGTAGCCACCGTCCGTACAGCCTGGGAGACCACGTGGCAGCTCATGATGAGCCAGCTCGCCCCCTCCGATACTTCTGGCGGCTACTCAAGACCCCTCTCCCAATTTCGCGCCACCAAAATTTCCGCCAACAATCTCCATCTATACGTCGGCCTTCCATGTCCATGGGCCCACCGGACGTTGATCGTCCGAGCCTTAAAAGGCCTCGAAAACGCCGTTCCGGTCTCCGTCGCCGGTCCCGGCGCAGACGGATCGTGGGAATTCCGGGAGAATCCGACGGCTGATAATGAAACCCTAAGGCAGGGATTGGATAGGGCAAATGGGTGCAAAACTTTGAAGGAGGTTTACAGACTGCGAGGAGGAGGTTACAATGGAAGGTCCACTGTGCCGATGCTATGGGATGCGGAGAAGAAGGAGGTGATTTGCAATGAAAGCTCTGATATAATTGAAATTTTGAATTCGGGTCTCAATGGATTGGCTGAGAATCCGGATTTGGACCTCTCGCCGCCATTGCTGAAGGGGAAGATTGAAGAATGGAACGCCATTGTTTATCCTAATGTCAACAATGGAGTTTATAGGTAATCATTCAGATGCTCTCTAATGTTAAACACACGAATTTCTAGTAGTTCTTTAACCGCCCAACTCCAACGCTAGCAAATATTGTCGTATGTGAGCTTTTCTTTTCATGTTTTCTCTCAAGATTTTTAAAACGCGTTTGCTAGGGAGAGTTTTTTACACTCTTATGAAGAATGTTTCATTCTCCTTCCCAACCGATGTGGGATCTTACGATCCACCCACTTTAGGGCCTAATGAGCCCCAACCGATGTGGGATCTCACAATTCATCCCTTTGGGTCCTAAAGAGTACAATATCTGCTAGCGGTAGGCTTGAGCTAGTGTAGTTTAGGTGTCTATGGAAATTATCGAGAAGGAATGGTGAGAAAACAAGCACAATTTTCTAAAACCTAAAACACAAGGCTTAATGGTTATCAACGAGACGTTAATAATACCAACTTGAGCATAGCTCAACCAGTTTAGACATATATCGAGAGTTTAGAGTTTCAAATCTATCCCCTGAAGCACAATTTTCAAAAACCTAAAATAGAAGGTTGGTTATCAAATGAGACGCTAATAGCACCAACTTGAGCATGACTCAACTAGTTCAGACATAGACCGAGAGTTCAGAGTTTCAAATCTCTCCCACAAGCACAATTTTCAAAAACCTAAAACAAAAGGCTTAATGGTTATCGATGAGACGCTAATAACACCAACCTGAGCATAACTCAACCAATTTAGATATATAGACCGAGAGTTTAGAATTTCGAATGTTTCGAATCTCTCTCCCCACATGTGACCGAACCAAAACGGGGCCTTAAAATCACAATCCCTTACTTTCTTTATGTTTCTTAAGATTATGTTTGTTCTGGACGTGTTTGTTTGTTATATAACGGTTCGTTCACCATTAGCAGATGTGGGTTTGCTCAGAGTCAAGAAGCATATGACAAAGCTGTCAATGGGCTATTTTCAACGCTCGACGTGTTAGACGACCATTTGGGGCGTTCGAGGTACTTGTGTGGTGAAAATTTGACTCTGGCTGATGTTTGCTTGTTTACAACATTGATTCGGTTTGATCTGGTGTATAATGTTCTGTTTAAATGCACAAAGAAGAAGCTGCTTGAGTATGCAAATCTTCATGGATATATGCGAGACATTTATCAGGTAATCTGTTCTTTAAACCCTGCAACTGTTTTTTCACTAGACTAACCCATTGAAAGCTATTCGGGTTGATTTGGTTCATGTGTTCGGGTTTGTAAATCAACTGAATACCAAAACTCGCTCAATGGAAGAGCATTTATTCTAGCGTTATATAGATTAAACGGTTATAGGTAGTGGTTCGGTCTAGGTGTAACAACCCATGCCCACCGCAAGCAAATATTATCTGCTTTAACCCGTTACGTATCGCCATCAGCCTCACCGCTAAAAACTTAAGGAATGATTCATTCCCCTCTCCAACTAATGTAGGATCTCACAATCCACCCTTCTTGGGGTTCCAACGTCCTCACTGTCACACCGCCTGGTGACTAGCTCTAATACCATTTGTAACAGCCCAAGCCAACCGCTAGCGAATATTGTTCATTTTGGCCCATTATGTATCGTTGTCAATCTCACGGTTTTTGAAACACGTCTACTAGGGAGAGGTTTCCACACCCTTATAAAGAATGCTTCGTGCCCCTCTCCAATCAATATGGGATCTCATAATCCACCCCTCTTGGAGGCCCAACGTCCTCATTGGCACACCACCCGATCTGATATCATTTATAATAGTCCGAGCCCACCGCTAGCGAATATTGTCCAATTTAGCCCATTACGTACCACCCCTCTTGGAGGCTCAACATCCTTATTGGCACACCACCCGATGAATGGCTCTGATACCATTTATAACAATCCAAGCCCACCGCTAGTGAATATTGTCCATTTAGCCTATTACGTATTACCATCAGTCTTACGGTTTTAAAACGTGTCTACTAGGGAGAGTTTCTACACCCTTATAAAAAATGTTTCGTTCCTCTCTCCAACCGATGTGGGATCTCACACTAGGCTTTTAGCCCATTTCTACTGATACTTCTTTTTCGTCGAGGTTAACAATGTCGGGCCATTGTATCTATTTATACGGTTCTTATCTTCTATCATCCTCTAATTAGTGTACTTTTAACCTGCCGACAGATTCCAAAGGTTGCAGCAACTTGCAACTTTACCGCAATAATGGATGGCTATTACAAAACATTGTTTCCTCTAAATCCTGGGAATATTCGACCAACTAAGCCGGCCAGTTGCTATCATGAAGCACTCTTAGTTCCTTCCAAAAGGGGGTCACTGCCATTCTTAGACACAACCAAGCAGGTAAATCCACCAAAACATTTAAGTTTAGGATTCATATTTTTCTATTTTGGTTAATGTCTTATTTCCCAACTAAATATAGGACTGTTGTTCGAGGAAAATTGAATTGTAACAGCCTAAGCCTACCGCTAGCAGATATCGTCTGCTTTGACCCGTTGTGTATCACCGTCAGTCTCACGATTTTAAAACGCGTTTGTTTCGTTCCTCTTTCCAACCAATGTGAGATCTCACAATCCACCTCCCTTGGGGGACCAGCATCCTCGTTGGCACACCGCCTGGTGTCTGGTTTTGATACCATTTGTAATAGCCCAAGCCTACCGCTAGCAAATATCGTTCGCTTTGATCCGTTACGTATCGTCGTCAGCCTCACAATTTTAAAACACGTCTGTTAGGAAGAGGTTTCCACACACTTATAGGGGATATGTTTTGTTCCCCTCTCCAACCAATGTGAGATCTCACAGTCCAACCCCCCTTGGAGACCCAACATCCTCGCTCGCACACCGCCCAGTGTCTGGTTCTGATATCATTTGTAATAGCCTAAGCCTACTACTAGCAAATATCGTCCGCTTTGACCCGTTACGTATCATCTTCAGTCTCACGATTTTAAAACCATCTGCTAGGGAGAGGTTTCCACACACTTATAAGGAATGTTTCCTTGCTCTCTCCAACTAATGTGGGATCTCACAATCCACCCCCTTGAGGGCCCAGTGTCCTCGTTGGCACATCGCCCCGTGTCTAGTTCTGATACCATTTGTAACAGCCCAAGCCTACCACTAGTAAATATCATCCGCTTTGGCCCGTTACATATTACCGTCAACCTTACAGTTTTAAAACGCGTCTGTTATGGAGAAGTTTCCACACACTTATAAGGAATGCTTTGTTTTCCTCTCCAACCAACGTGGGATCTCACCTGAATTTTTATATGTTGAGGAACGGATACATAAATAATTAGATTACGTTTCCTTTAGAATACAACCAAACTTGCAGAGGTGAATTTCAGAGGTTATATTGCTAAAAATGTTGGGTAAAATTTACACATTACATGAGCTTAAAGTGACTTTCAACCTTGCAGTGCTGAATTTTAGAACCTATATTGCTAATAATAGTGATATAGGATAGAAAAAAAATGGAAAGAATTGTGCTTCTCATAACTTAGAGTACCTTTTTAGGAGTTTTCTGTTTTGAGTCCTCAGCTGTAGCGTTTGGAGATTGGATATTAGTCATCTGATCAATTACATCACTCATGTGGCTTCTCATAACTGCAATTGCATGATCATCTTCGATATATTGGAGCTCCCGACGTATGAATATGGTCACGAGGGACGCCTTGGACTGTAGACCTCCCTGTTCCGCAGGCATGATGGCAAAGCCAGAAGGTCTCAGAAACACACTATTCATACTAAATTTGGGCATGAGAGAGATATGAACATCTTCTTCTGACAATTGTGATGATAGGACGAGGGAGCAATAGTCATTCGCTGTAGCTTCTTGTAAGAAAAATTCATGGTCCTATCACGTTAAACAAGCATATCATATCATTGAAGTATATAAGTTTTGGGCAAGGAGGATCAGGTAAAGAAGTTTATGTAAAAGAGAAGCACCGCAAAAAGTTCATCAGCTACTGTTTCTTCTACTTTTCTGCGTAAACCAATGGTGTAGCTATTATCTTCTGAGTAAAGTGCAGCTACCAGCTTGAGCTGTTCCGGTGATTTTATGCTCGTCAACTGTATGTGGCGAGTATAAGCAAGCAAGAATATAGGTTAAATTATAAGTTTAGTTTCTAAGACGGAGTTTACCTGGTATGTCACATTATATGTGGCTAGAAACATTAAGAGTCTGATGGGGGTTTCTGGAATGTATACGGTACTTGAGGCAACATAATCATGGTTATAGCCAATGTTACTTGCTTTCATGTCTCTCAAAATCCTTATATTATCATCACAATATAAATCCCATTTTCTTTCCATTGGAAAGGGATTAACTGATGTTAGATATAATCTCTTCAGGTTCTCCCCAATTGTCAACAGATCAGGTACATCTGTTATCCCATAAAATCGAATTAGCTTGAGAATTTAATGCTTTATAAGGCTGTTCATGGTCGAAGATTATTGGGACGGAGTCCTATGTTGGCTAATTTAGGGCATGATCATGGATTTATAAGTAAGGAATATATCTCCATTGGTATGAGGCCTTTTAGGAAGCCCAAAACAAAGCCATGAGAGGTTATGCTCAAAGTGGACAATATCATAGCATTGTGGAGAGTCGTGTTTCCTAACATGGTATTAGAGTCATGCCTTAACTTAGTCATGTCAATAGAATCCTCAAATGTCGAACAGATGGTGTACTTTGTTCGAGGACTCCAAAGAATGAGTCAAGCTTCGATTAAGGGGAGGCTGTTCGAGGGCTCCATAGGCTTCAAGGGAGGCTCTATAGTGTACTTTGTTCGAGGGGAGGATTGTTGGGAGGGAGTTCCACAGTAGCTAATTAATTGAGGGAACGATCGTGGGTTTACAAGTAAGGAATACATCTCCATTGGTAATGAGGCCTTTTGGGAAAGCCAAAGCAAAGTCATGAGAGCTTGTGCTCAAAGTGGACAATATTTGTGGAGAGTCGTGATTCCTAACATTCATAAGAGAAATTAAGAGCATACACTATACCGTTGGGGTCGTCGAACATCTCTGAAGTCGTTATCTTGCTCCATCTACGTTTCAAATTTTGTGATAAGATACTGATCCATTGCTTTGCAGTTAAATGAAAGTTTGAAGTAACTTTTGAGGATATGTTGTTAGGGATATCAATCTCTTGTACCTCTGCGTTTTCAACCCATAGAACCTGTAAAATAAAATTCTGTTTTAGATTTGTAAAATTGTGAAGTAATTACTGATAGATGATGGTTTTCTGTAAACAGACCTCTGAGAGAACACCAAACTGCCGGATTACCACTCCTGAAGGCCTCCGCCTGTATTGAGTTCCCACGGTGGAATCAGAGGCTGTTTCCATGAAATAATCAGTTGACACATCGCAGATAGCCCATGTATCTTCGGCGACGTCCATCTTAAATCTCAAAAAGCGAGTGCACCATCTTGGCAGGAATTCAGCTGGCAGTCTTAACTGGGCATTGACCTATTATATGATAAAAGTTCATATATTTTCTTTTTCTGTGTCCTACAGTTTAGAAGGAAAAAAAAAAAAAAAAAAAAAAGTTACCAATACAACATCCTTAGAATTTGAATTTGAATCTGCTGACCAGAATTCTTTCAAAGGAGTGAGAACATTTTCAAATGATCCATCACAAATGATGTTGGAAAATATTGAACTCCATATCACCTATAAACAGTGTGAATAAGGGTACAAAATGTTGAGAATAATGTATAGAAAATCAATGTCAAGTTAAGGATATCTCACCCCATTCATCATTATTGTGATCAGCGATTCTGGAGTAATGGAAAGAACGTCATACTCGACGGAACATTCAACTGTATATCCACGAGGTGGTGTAGTGTGGAACATCTCTTGTAAATCCTCTACTGATCCTACTGCTGGAGGATGGAAAATCAAAGCGTTTGCTCTCATGGCTATTGCCATGAATTCCTTGTAAGCCGCTTTGATTATATTATTTACCCTTTGCATTTCTAGGAAGTCAGGTTCATCATTGTAAAAAATTTCCCCGATGCTCGAATCCTGCATTGTCGATTCTGTTAATAATTCTACAAAGACTAACAACACTTTTACAGTGATTTGAAACAATCTCAAATATGTCTTACTTATTCAAAACAATTTAAACAATCTAATGTTTAGTCTAAATTGATTTTGAATAATTAAAGACATATTTGAGAGTGATTTTTTAAATGAAAAACTTGATTTCAATTCCAGTTCAACTAGCAATGAGTTTATGATATCAAATAAAAACAGTTTGATAATAGAAGTAAAACATACATTAGAGCAACTAGGTGAAACCTCAAGATCATCTTTCATCGAATCAGACGGTCCTTCATTAGGTTTCTGTTCCATAGTCACTTCGGGAATTGATTCCTCAGCTTGGGGTAACTCAGCATCCGTTTCAAGATTCATTTCTGAGCTCTAACTTATATCAAAGTTTGATGACTAATCCACTCTAACGATTCGAATCCAACACAGATGGAAATATTTCCAGAGATTAAAATCCAAATATGCTACTCACAAAACAGAATAATTGATGAAAACATGGCTATAACATAATAATCAAGAAGTGTCAAAAATCTGTACGTTCATAATGTCATGTATTTTTATGAATGTCTATATCTTGATCGAAGCACATACTAAAAGCTGCCGATTCAGGACTCTTGAAGAAGAAGAAATGACCATTATATATGCCTAAAATCTCTCACCATTTTAGATAAATTGAAAAATCAGAACTAAAACATTTTTGACTTAGGTCTTGATTTCACATATACCGAAAAAAATTCGTAAAAAGAACGTCCGTTGTCTATCTAATTTGCATCTTCCTTTTCTTGACTTAAACAAGATTCTGTGCAGTCATCATCAGCTTAATTTATTAATGTACTAAAAACAATCCGAAATGGAACTAATCGGAACAAAGAGAGAGTAGATTAAGAAGAGGACTCACAGCGAAATCTTCCACCAGGAAACAGGGAATCGAAATTCCAGTGGACACTTCAAGAAATCAAGAACAAAGAAATTACGACGAAGGAAATAATCGAAAAAGAAGAGCATAAAATTACACGCTAGAAGATTCGAAGACTATCCGAGCACCTTCTGAGTGCGCACTTCGAGCTTCCAAAGACCTTTAATGGCGGAAGACGAACTAGAGACTGAAGGGAGGAGGGAGAGGGAAAAAGTGTCAAATGTGGTCTGTATATAAAGCTTTGGGAGTCTGTTAACTGCACGTGACTTGCACTCGCCAGATTCATATTTCATTAAGCTTGCACGTGACATCTCGAATACATAGAGAACAGTAGGTAATTTGATTATTTACCTCATCTTATGTCAGTTGGAGAGTGAAACAAAATATTCTTTGTAGGGGTAAAAACTTCTCCTACGTGTTTTAAAACCTTGAGATGAAGTCCGAGAGGAATAGCGCAAACAGGACAATATCGGTCAGTGGTGGACTTGGGTCATTACAAATGATATTAAAGACATAGATCAAGTAGTGTGTCAGTGAGAACGTGGGGCCCTCAAGTAAGTGGATTGTGAGATCCCACGTCAGTTTGAGAAGAGAACGAAGGGTGTGTAAACCTCTCCCTAATATAATTGGAACGTTTTAAAACTTTGAAGGAAAACCCAAAAAGAGCCGTATTTGCACGGTGGGCTTGGGCTGTTACAAGACTATTCCGACAACCAACATAGATCCTTTTCATATGTTTTGTTCTCACTCACTTGTTTCCTATGAACATTCCTAATAAGTCACTTATGGTTAAACATATTTAATTTTGGAGTTCTTATGATTGACCCACTTAATATTCCTAATAAGTTACCCAATCTACAATTTTCATGGACGTTAAGAGTCCTCTTTGGGCTTTCCCTTTAACAGAACATTAAGAGTGTGGAAACTTCTCCCTAACACAGGTTGACAGTGATAAGTAACATGCCAAAGTGGACTTGTTAGAGATAGGCTTGAACTGTTACAAATGATATTAGAGCCAAACACGGGGTGGTGTGCCAAGCGAGGACGTTGGGTCTTCGAAGGGGCTTGATTTGTTACAAATAATACCAGAATCAAGTCACAAGACGGTATGCTGACGAGAACATTAGGTCTCCAAGGAAGGTGGATTATAAGATCCCATATTGATTGGAGAGGGTAAACCCAAGGTATAGAAACCTCTCTCTAATAGATCATATTAATAGATCATATTGTTAAACTATTTATATTATTATTATGTTGAAATTTCAACAAAAAATAAATAAATAAATAAAATAATAATAATAATAAAATGTCGAACTAATTAGTTATAGTCAAAGTGTAACTATAAAAGAGATATTTATTTATAATAAAATTAATTAAAATTTAAAATTTTCATCCAATTTTTTTCTTGTGGATAAGAGTCAACGGTCAAAGTCAATAATCGGATGAAGTCGAGTCTCCAACTACTCGATCGTCGGAGCAAAAATCCGATGTCCGGTGGGGCCCGCCAAGGGATTTCGTGTATTAGAAACGTGGGTCCCACACGGTTCTATTTCCAACGTGTCCAGCAATGTGATGGGACGCGGGCCCTACCTTGTCGGGAGACCTTTTAGAAACATATGAGTGCGGGCCCCATTGCTTCTCTTTCTATCGTTATCGTATCATATCGTGTCGTATCGTATCGTGTATTTTCTCGTACAATATCGTCAGCTTACCATTTCCATATTAGCCTTGGGCCGCCTTTTGGGCCATAATTTAATTACAATATTTTTTTAAAAAAAAAAGAAAAAGAATATAAAAAAACGTTTCATTTATTTAAAAATTATAATTCTATTAAAAAAATTACAATGTTACGTATGAAATTTTTATATATTGTCTATTAGTGTAATTATTTATTTTATCTAACGAATATTATTTTTTTTATCTCGAGACAAAATAATAGGCAAAGAAAAAGAAAAAGAGCTAAAAACTCTCGGGTTAGGAAAATCATTCATTAGAGGTGTATATAAATTAGGTTGGAAAAATCTATTAGATCAACCCGAAATTATAGGTTAGTTGGGTTGGTGACTCAAACAACCCGAACATAGTTCACAACTCAACTCAACTCAACTCTCAATTTTCAACTTGGGCAGTCGGTTTTTTTATAATAGTTTTCAAAGATCCTACTTATCTACATAAGAGCTCGTAAAACTCAAATATCAAACGTTCACAACTTACAATGCATCACTAACATTGATTTCAAACGTCAAATATTCTTAATTATTATATTAATCAAATAGGGTCGTGTTGGGTTGTAACCTTAAAAAACGTCAATATGCAAATTGACCCAAATTTTAAGATTTCAAAATAAAAAAGAGTTTATCTCAACCCAACTTTTATGGTTCGGACAGATAGTTTGCCCGAGTCATATTCTCGAGTCATTTGAACACCTCCTATATTTTTAACAAATTCAAAATAAGGGAATCTTGAAACTTGCAATTTTACCCCTGTTAAATCTATAAATTTTAAAACGTGCCAAAATTAGGGACTAATTTATAATTTCAAAAGTTAAAAATTCATAAAAAAAAAAAAAATCATACTAAATTTATAATTTAATAAATAAATAAATAAATATATATATATATATAAAATACGGGCTCGCTTGAAGCCCATTTTAGGAACGTATAAATAGCCGAAGAGGAGATAGCGGAGAAATTGAAAATATCAAGAAAAGAGAAGAAAATTAAGCAGGCGAGGGAAAGCGATTAGGAGCAGTGGGGAAGAAGACAATGATGGAGATGGAGGCGCATAAACCAGACAGGTGGGTCCAATTCCTCATGAATTCGATCAATGCCGTTGCTTCAATATCAATCCTCCCTTCTTCACTACGCCACCACCATTAAACCTGCTCTCTCTCTCTCTCTCTCCTATTTTCCGCCAAACAAAGGCGCCTTCACCGTCCTCACGGCATTGCTTTTTCTATGCTCGTTATTGTTAGTTGTTGTTGTTGATGTTGATTTTGTCGTTGATTCATCCATTTATTTCCAATCCAAGACTTCGTTTCTAATCAATCCACTTCTTTTGCTCTCCTTGAATCCCCTTCTTTTTCTTCGTTGAATTTGATGGCTTCTAGCGGAGGTGGAAGCGGTGTAGTTTCTGAAGAATCTATGTCGACTATTTGTAAAGATGAGAACGTGATGTTGTCGTCTGAGGGCTCCTCGTGCCCAGACGAGTCGGAGATTGAATTAGGGCTAGGGCTCAGCCTCGGTGTTCGCGATTCACGCAAGATTCAGAAAGTTTCCGTCGCTCAATTTGGGAGAATTTTAACGGCTGAGGATTTTTCTTCGTCGATCTGTTCCTCGTCTTCGCTTAGTGGAGTCAATGTCACTAATGGTTCGAAGAGAAATTCTGATTCCGCAGCGACTATCAATGGCGGGAGGTACTGATTACTAATTCTTGCCTATGAGAGGAATTTAATGCATAATTCACTCCACTTTTTCTCTGGTTTCCAATTTTGTGTGAAGCATGAGAGTTTAATTTCCTTGATTGATCTCTAACGATTTTAGATTTCTCTATCAACACAATTATTAGCTGTGAAGTTGCATGTGCTTCTTTGGTTTTGCGTTTCAGTACCAAATTGATTCGAATTTCTTGATATTTATCTTGATGAATCTGATACTGACAGATATGTTTGCTGTTGTTTACTTTTATGGTGCCTCTGGCTCCCTTTTCCTCATCCCAAAAGCAAACAGTAAGCTGAATATAGATAGGGAATCATTTTGAATTTGTTCGGATTTGTGCTCTGCCGTACTCCATCTAATTAAATATGATACGGCTCTGATAAAAATTGAAAACTGGCCTTTGGTAGCCTTCAAAGGACGAGATACCCTCTGAAATATTTTTCTAGAGCTTTCCAAGTCATGACAGTTTGTTTAATAAAACTTCAAGTTAACATTCAAATTAACGCCCTATGAGGTGTATATTTGCTTCCAGATAACCTAAGAATTGGTATCCATGGCCTTGACTGGAAGGTTTGAAATCTCCCCATTATGTTCGTTTACCGGACATCAGTAATCTAGGACTGGGTTGAACTGAGAAAAAGCGATGCATCGAGAAGAAAGTGAGACCAGATTTCCATGCTTCGATGCTTTTATGAATTCTGTGGCACTAACAGCTAGTGAAACAAGAAAGTTGCATAAAGATGTTAAGAATGAGAAACTGACGCGAGATTGAAATTACAATCTTCAAAATATGATACAAGCTATCAACTAACTCCTATATATATATATATATATCTATATATACTGCCAACTAACTCTATACTACCAACCAACTCCTAAAAATAGATTATCTTTATGATCATTTTCCTTTTAGGATAATAGAAGTTTTTTTTTTTTTTAAGGTTATGAATGTGATTTTAAGCACACAACTATCTTTACTTTTACATGAGTTCTTAAAACAGTTCTGAATATAGAAACAGAAATCTTTGGAAACATCTACAAAACAAATCCCAATCTCTTTACTTTAGGATTCCATACCTATAGATTTTTATGCACTTCGCATAATTGTATCATCGAAGTAGTAATAGTTGCAGTATGTGAAACATTCTTTGAGTATGCTTTGACAAGTTGCTTGAATATCACATTGGTCGCCCATATGTTGAATATATGTATGTATATATGTATGTATATATGTGTATATATAATTTTTTTTTTTTTTAAAAGAGAAGCTTTAATAGTGTTACTGTAACTGTATCGAGAATAGGGTTCTTCGTGGTGGGTTATGTTGTAATATTTTGATATACTTTCAGAGGTAGCCAGGTCGTGGGGTGGCCCCCAATCAGAGCTTCTAGGATCAGTACCTTGGTTAACCAGGCAAAATCTCATTCTGTAGAAGAATTCAAGGCAGTTGCTGGCAAGAATAAAAACAAGCATACGGAGGCAGGGACACTTAATGGTGTTAGTGATAGAAACAAAGCAAATGAAGAGCGTAGGACTTCCAGAAATTCTGTGTACGTGAAGGTGAATATGGATGGAGTTCTCATTGGAAGAAAGGTTAACCTCAGTGCTCACAGTAGCTATGAAACCTTGGCTCAAACCGTCGAGAACATGTTCCTTGATCCCACCGCACTGGTTGACTCCACTGGTAATTCCTTTCCGATCTCTGCAATATCACGTATAGAAGTGAATTTTGTGGCTTCAATCTCTAAAATTGAATATTTTCAACTCAGTAAGAAGTGAAGGTCCCCTAGAGTTCAATTTAATAGTGTATTAATGCTATTTTTTGCTCTGAATGGAATTAAGTGATGTGATGGACTATGAGATCCCACATCGGTTGGGGAGGAGAACGAAACACTCTTTATAAGGGTGTGGAAACCTCTTCCTAGCAAACACGTTTTAAAAACCTTAAGGGCAAGCTTGAAAGGGAAAGTCCAAAGAGGACAATATCTGCTAGCGGTGGACTTGGGCCATTACAAATGATATCAGAGCCAAACACCGGGAGATGTGCTTGTGAGGAGGCTGAGCCTCAAAGGGGGTGAATATGAGGCGATATGACAGCAAAAACGTTGGGTCCCGAAGGGGGGATGAATTTAGTGGGGGGTCTCACATCGATTGGAGAAAGGAATGAGTGCCAGCAAAGATGCTAGGCCCCGAAGAGGGGTAGATTGTGAGATCCTATATTGGTTGGGGAGGAGAACGAAACACCCTTTATAAGAGTGTGGAAACCTCTCCCTAACGCGTTTTAAAAACTTTGAGGGCAAGCCTGAAGGAGAAAAGCCTAAAGAAGACAATATCTGCTAGCGGTGGGTTTGGGCCCAAGAAGGTTAATGTAAAGATGAAAGTGGTAATATCGAGAATCTCTGGAAGAAAGGCTCTCTTCCTGAAGTAAATGCTAGTATTTTTGGGTTCTTTATTGAGTATGAATAGAAGCTTCTGATTAGCCATAGTGAAGCAACAATGTTAACTCTTTTATGAAGGACCACCTTATCCATTTATTGACATTTTATCATGAAATTTGTGTGACTGGCAACCGATAACGATGCTTTATCGTCTGATACAGGATCGAGTATAAAGGAACATGACATAGTGAGACCCTCCAGACTACTAAATGGACTATCTGGGTACATGCTTACTTATGAAGACAAGGAAGGAGATTGGATGCTAGTTGGCGATGTTCCTTGGGGGTATGCTCTCTTGTCACTTCATTTAGTCTGATAAGGCCTTTAAGTTCGAGTTCGTAAACTTTTAACCTAATTCTTAACATACGCATCAACGCACGCGATCTTCGAGCTAGAAACTTTCAATATATAACATTTCTTGCATCGTTTTCAGAGGGAAGAATAGCTAGAAACTTTCAATATATAACTATGACTCTTTTGATCATATGTCCAGAATGTTTACCCAATCCGTGAAGAGGCTTAGGATAATGAAAGCAGCTGAAGCTAATCAAATTGGCAGGTGATCTGCCAGCAGAATTGAAACTCAACAATTGAAGATGCTCTTTTTTTCTTTCTTTTTTATTTTCTTTTGCGCGACACCTATTCTCCGTGGCGAATCTGCTGCTCTGTATCGGAACGAGGAAGGCCAATATCAGCTCGAAAAAACTGTGCAAATGAGAGGTAATAGGCTATAAGCATTTTGAAAGAAAAAGGATTGGCCTTTTTCTCTTCTTTTCTGGGTTTTCTGATCTTATTCCCAAAGCTCTGGGAATTGTCAATTTGTGTAGTTTTGTAAGTCACGGTCATAAAGCCCTACACATATACAGATGTGGGAATGTTTATGTTGTGAATATTAAAGCAAATACTGCTCTGCTTAAGCCTTTTATGCCTTGGGAAAGTGCTCTTTTGTTCTAGTTTTCTTCTCACTGAATGGTCGTGTGTCTGTAAACAGGGAAAATTTTGGAATTTCAATGATAATAAACAAGGATTACAATAATGCCTGTATTGCTTGTTTATACATACATACATATGCGATCTTCCTTTGAGATCTTGGCCCCGAGTAGAGGCAAGGTCGAGCCGAATGACTTGGTCAGTAGATGCAAGTCAGTTGTGTTGTAGACAATTGAACATGCACATGTAGATGGCGTGTGTGGTCGAACAAGCTTAGATTCCGCACAAGCGATGTTCGGTTGGTGAAGACAAACCTTACCTAAGGTTTGATGAAGCTACAAAGCTGAGGCAAAAAATATATATGGGGCTTGATTTCCCTTAAGACTTGTCGTGAGTGGGTTAAGATCACGACAACACACGGTTGAAAAAGTAGGATAGTGACAGTTGGTATCGAGCCACACTTATATATATAAAACCCTTCATAGTCACCGTTGCCTTTTCTCCTTGGTTTTGCTTCTCCAAGCATTGTTATTATATCTCTCATGGAGGGCCTGTCTTTTGAATGTTTTGCAGGGCAAAGAAAGTGCTATTCTAAGAATACTTTAGCCTTTTCCGTATTACTGTTAGTCTCATAGTTTTTAAAGGGCGTATACTAGGGAGAGGTTTCCACAGCTTTATAAGGAATGTTTCGTTTCCTTCTTCAATCGATGTGGGATCTCACAATCCACCTCACTTGGGGGGCCCAACGTCCTCCCTAGCACACCACCCGATGTCTGACTTTGATACCATTTGTAACAGCCCAAACCAACCACTAGCAAATATTCTCCGCTTTAGCCCATTACGTATCGCCGTCAGCCTCACAGTTTTTAAAATGCCTCTACTAGGGAGAGGTTTCCACATCTTTATAAGTAATGTTTCATTCCCCTCTCCAACCGAGGTAGGATCTCACAAATCCTTCAAAATGTCAGATGAAAATTGAGAACTAAGGATACAGCAACGATCCAGAACAGGCGGAAATCCAAATTCCATTCTCGATCACTATCACACAATTCTAAGTCTCGATTATCATCCTAACGATTTATAACGATCTATATTCCGGGTGCTGAATCTATAATTTAATTTCGACCATGCAAGAGATATATAAAATACCAAATCTTAAAATGAAATCTTTGGTAACTGGAAGACAAGTACATCAATCCAGATGGCAAAAGGCAGATTTTCTACACAAAATTTCAAGGGAAGAAGAAATCTATAGTAGAAATTTGTGAAAATTATTAAACTAACCCGACTGTGACTCAATATCAGTATCTTTGTGGGTCATAAAACATACCTTTAGTTCTTCCAAGTCACTACAATGGGGCTTCTCACTCTGTATTTACTGTTCTCAGAATGGAGCCATGTCAAATGCCCTTCTGTAGAGCTCACCTTTCTTCCTTCTCTTCTCTTCTCAGACATAAACCATACCTTATAACTCAAACTTTCGTTCACATGTTTGAACACCAAGCGCCGAGGCTTAACTCGAACGCTCACTCCTTCAGGCGCGGTTACTTCCACTTCATAGACGGAATTTGGGCTCCCGACATTCGTCAACCGTCTCGAAACCATCTTACTCGTTGTCCCGTGCTTAAAAACGACAGACATGGAGGGATAGTTCAATGTGAAGCCTTTGTTCATCTGAAGAACTTTGTGGCAGCTCACATTCATGTGGGTAATGATGAAGATTTCTGAATGAGTGTAGCCAAGAACACAAAGATGAATGACATAATCATATGGCTTGATATCATAGACCAAGCCAGGATCAATGGCTCTTGTTGGGTTTACATGACCAGCTCCCATTGCAAAAACACTAGCTGGTTTGTTGCCATCGAGAATCGGTTTCCCGAAACGATCGGTAACATCGGCGGTTGTCATGATGGCTGATTTGATAGCTGCCGGTGTCCATTTTGGATGAGCTGAATGGATTAGAGCTGCAATTCCACTGACATGGGGACAAGACATGGATGTTCCTGACATGACAGTGAAGTTTGACCTTCTAGAATCTTCTAGAAGGCCAGTTGGAGCAAGGTTTTGAGGCCAAGCTGCTATAATGTTGACCCCAGGAGCAATTACATCAGGTTTGAGCGTTGAAGGATTTGTGGGGCTTGGTCCTCTTGATGAAAACTGAGCTACAGATGGAGCTCTTGTTCTTCCTATCACAGTTCCTCCAAATTGGATTCGGGCTTTTGGATCGGTTGTTGTGTTAATGTAAGCTTTTAACCGATTCGCCTCCGCAAATCCGATCAACGTGGCTGGCAAAACATGAACATCAACCAAGTCTTCCTCTAGATTTATCTCTGTATTTGCAAGGATCATAGCAGCTCCTCCAGATTCCTTCACAATCTGCCCCTTTTCGGATCGGCCGTTGACGCCACGGTCACAAACCACCATTTTTCCTTCTACTTGTTCTCGTGGAAGAGACCCTTTTAAGCAAAGTTCACTTCCCATTTGCCCTCCAGTCAAGTAAACCAACTCAAGCTCCTTGGTAGCTTGATTGAACTTGTTTCCAGGGTACATTGATTCGCCGGGAATGGCTTCGCCATTGCTTAGTCGAACTATAGCTGGGAATGTTCGATCGAGCGTGCCTGCACCAATGGTGGTGATCCAAGGAGCTACATTGGCGACAGAGCTTTGAGTTGGGCCATTGTTTCCTGCTGCACAAATGACTGAGATGCCATGCTGCATTGCTCGAAAACTGCCAATGGCGATACTGTCGTCGAAAAACGGAAGTGGGAAGCCACCAAGCGAAAGGGAGAGAATGTCAACACCATCTCTTATTGCAGAATCCATGGCAGCTACAATATCAGAGCTATAGCAGCCACTAAACCAGCAAACCTTGTACACAGCAATGTGGGCGCCCGGGGCCATCCCCTGCGCCACACCTGCTCCATTACCAAATACGCTCGCTCCGGCAACCGAAGCTCCAGCAGCTGTAGAAGAAGTGTGAGTCCCATGGCCATGGGAGTCTCTTGGGGAGACATATTCCTGGACGGTATCGGAAGGCGGCGACGAAGCCACATGATGTCCTTTGATGAAGAACTTAGCACCAATGAGTTTCCTATTACAACTTGAGGAATTAAAATCTTGCCCTTCTTGGCAACCCCCTCGCCATTTTTGTGGAATTGGGGGCATTTTGGAATCACCAAAGCTTGGACTCTCAGGCCAAACTCCCGTGTCAAGAACCCCAACGATTGCCCCTTGGCCCATTGAGGACTTATAACAAACACCTTGTGTGCAAACACTAAGCCCCAAGAACTTATGTGAATAAGTTGTCTGAATTTCATACTTTCTATCAGCTCTTACAGCCACAACATCAGGCAACTTCTTCAAATACTCCAGCTCAGTTTCAGATAACTGAGCTGCAAATCCTTCCATGGCGTTCGAATATGAATAAAGCAAGCGAGAAGAACAGTCTTCTTCAACAGATAGCGTTTGTTCAAGAAAAGAAAGATGCCATTGAAGCTTAGATTCGAAAACAGAGCTGGTTAATCCTTGTGGATGGAGTTGAATCATGTAAGTTTGGAGATTGGAAGCGTTTGCTTGAACTTGAAGCAAAAGAAAACAGAGGAAAATGGTGGAAAAAACCATTTGGGAGTAGAAATCCATGAATCTCTACAGCCAACAAGACACTGATTTTTGAAGTTATATTCATGATTTTGGACCAAAATTTGATGGATATTTGAAGGAGGAAGCCAAGAGAATTCAAATCTAGGATTCCATTGAGGAAGCATTTCTGAAATTCTGAGTGTAAAATATGAAACTCGTGAAGTATAAGAGCTCTTCATCACGAGGATCCCTTGTTTTTTAGAGAAAGAGAGAGAGAGAGAGACTTACAAATTTGGGCGATGGTGGAGATGAAGCCATTGCTGATTGCTCAAAGCTTCACGAGAAGTAATGGTGAGCTTTAAAAGGGATTTGAATTCAGAAAGTTGTGTGAATTTTGGTTTCCCAAACGAGCGTATGCGTAGAGAATTTGAAGCAAGGTAAGAAGGAACATAGATTTGCTGTCATTTAATGCAACACGCTCTTTGTTCTTCTTTTCTTTGCTAGGCTCGTGCACCTTCTCTTGCAATTACAAGCTTACCCGCCCACACGGGTTAGGTTGGTTAGATTGGTGACCCAGCCTCGAGTAGAGACAAAGTTGAGTCGAATGATTTGGCTTAGTGTAGAGGCACGTAGGTTGTGTCGCAGATGATTGAACATGCACGTGCAGACGACGTGTGTGGTCAAACAAACTTGAATTCATACCAATGTTTGGTAAGCGAAGACAAACTTCGCTTAGAGTCCGATGAAGCCACAAAGACCGGGCGAAAAATATATATGGGGTTTGATTCCTCTTAAGATTGGTCGTGAGCGTCTCAAAATCACTACATTGCACGGTTGAAAAAGTAGGACCATGACGGTCAATTCGAATAGAGTTCATAATCTAAAATGATCTATTTTTAAAAAATTCTATTTAATGTTTTTTTAATTATAAATATTAAGTTATAATTAAAATCGGTTATTCAAAAATTCAATTAATAAAAGAAAAATTTATTTGGGCCGGGCCCATATAGTATGGCACCAGAGATCAGTTAAACGGCGCCGTTTTAGCAAACCCCTTTTTCCTATTTTCTCCTCCGTGAATATAACGTAGCCCCAGCCGTTCCCGTGCCGTAACACTATATAAAGCCAAGAGCGGGTATTTGGAAGCTAGTCGAACGATACAAAATCTGCGCGCGAAAAATTGTGGTTTTCGAGATTGCTCCGATGAGAAATGCGATGAGATCAGGGTTTGAAATTATCGGTGGCTCACGAATCCGACATCCAAGCAATCAGGTACGTCGGATGGATGATCTCTTACCGATTCGTTTAGTGCGTTGGTGATTTAAACGATTTCTTCTTTAATCAGCAATGGTGATGGATAGGTCTTATTGTCACCGTAGGATTTTGGTTAGTCGAGGAAATCAAATAGATTCTTCAATTAATTAGCGTTTACGACAGGTCTTATATTTTATCTAGCGTACTGACTTTGATTAGTCGACGAGGAAATCAAACAGTTCACTAAATTAACGATGGTGATTGCTAGGTCTCATGATTCGTTTGCGTTACGATTTTGATTAGTCGAGATGAAATGAAACAGTTCATTAATTAAACGGTCGTGATTGCTAAGTCTCATAGTTCATAATTACTGTAGGATGTGATAAATCGAGGAAATCAGATTGTTTCCTAAGTTAATGATTGTGATTTCTCAGTATCAAATTGTTTGTGAAAAGTTTTTCGTCATCGACAAGATTAGATCAGGTGTTATAGTTGATCGGCTTTTTCACTGATCGCTGACTTGTGTCTTGTTTTAAACTATCTCGCTTAATGACTTGATCCACGTCAATGATTGTTGAGATCTTCCTTGATAAAATTTTTATGACGACTTTCAGTTTTCGGATGTTTCTGTTGATATGTGAACTGAATAGTTAGGGATAACATTTATAGTTATGGATGTAAATGTGTAATTCGTTTTACTTGCGTGACATTTAATTAAGTTTAACAAGTGAATCAGTATTTTAAATAGTTTCTTGACGAACTTATTATTTTCTGAATCTCATACATTTTAGTTTCTCTCAAGCTTGAGATATATGATTGTAACATTTTTGGATTTGTAGGAATTATATGACTTGTTAAAGGTATTATCATAAAAGATTTATACAATAAAAAATCGATTTGCTTCAAACATTGTGACATGAACTTGGAATTGGTTGTTACATGCAATTAGGAGCACTCCAGTCGCAATATTCTCTGTAAAATTATTTTGCTTAATCAATTCTTGTCCAACTTTTTAGCAATTCTTATTTTCAATATTCCGATATCTTACTGTAAGTATTACGAAAAGAAGAAGAAGAAAAAAAATCTGCTATTAGACATTTAGGATAAGAACATTTTTAACCTTCAATTAGATTTTGGCATTAGCCATGTGTTGGATATCCAAACACATACAAAACTAATAGCCTTTTGACAGGTGCATCTGCAGCTTGCATTAGCTTTTTGCTCGTGGAGATTAAATGAAATTTACGGGTAAAGCCTATGAGGTTAGTACCTCAGCATTTTTGCTCCCAATTTTTTTGTTCACTTCCTAAAGTTTCTAAGCTAGATTTCGATTCAGCACACAATTAAATTATTGTTATTGAACTGCTTCATAGTTTTTCTATATGTTATTAATTATTAGTTACCATTCAATGAATTATAGTGCATTTAGTGTCTTATGCCTCCATAAAATTAGTTTTACTTTCCTCGAACTCGCATTCCAAGGCCACAGCTTTCAGATTACTATAGTGATCCATTATCTCAAACCTTGCACTAAGCATCTAATTTCCCTCTACTCCAATGCCTTCTGAAGTTCGAAAGCAAATTTAGTTTCTGAATTGCGGAATTTCCCATGCCATTGTATGTGCCTTCACCTAGTGTTTTTCTATATGATGGCTTCTCTGTAACGTCACTGTCCTAAATTGGAGTATCGACTTCGGTCTGTCCTCCCCATTCCCTAACTGTTTCCCTCAAGAAAACCAAGCAGACATCTTTTTCTGTAATTGGGGAATTTATTTATAGAAAAAAAAAAAGAAGGGAAAAAAGGGGAAAAAAAAACCGTTGGAGCAGTTGTAAGTGATACTTTTGATTGTCTCGCCAAAGATTAGCCAAGATAGTTTTTGGATGTCAAATTGGCAACTATGTTAAAATATCGTTACTAGCCCAACAAGGTAGGTCAAACTCAATAATTGTATGAGCAAATTATTTATATATTTTAAAAAAATGATTTAAGTATTTTAGAAATAAGGATACATAGGTATTTTAAGAAAATGATTTAGAACGAAGGTTTTCGATCTCAAAGAAATTCAAAGCACAGAAGGCAGTAGTTTCTATATTGTGTCTTATAATATTTTCTCCTTCAATAAAGAGGACGAGTGTTGTCCACAAAGAGTTGTTCAACAAACTATGAGTTTTCCCCTTTCACATCCTCTAGTGATTGATCCGAAGTCACATTTGGAACAATAGTCTTTCATTGCATGGCTTTTTTTTTTTTTTTTTTTTTTTTTTTTTTTTTTTTTTTTTTTTTTTTT